TGTTTGTCGAGGGACTAGTTCTGTCAGTCAAGTGTTAGAATAATTTAGAAGTCTGGATTAAAGTGTCTCAGGATAGGAGAAAAAGAACGGGGGAAGGGGATAAGAGAAAATAGCATGTTATTATTTGTATATTATATGTATGTATAGATATCTTTAATTGTCTTCTGTGTGCGATTAGTGCTGTTTCATTTTAATATTAATGGGAATGAAAGAGCTATATATTATATTCTAAATTTAGATCACAATAAGTTTCATATTCGCGATTAGTCTATAAATTGACTGCTTCTATTCACTTTACTATCGCATAATTATATATATCGCGTAGTTGTGACAATAAAATCATACTTCCAGACGCACTACTATTATATAAATTATATTTACCGTGATAATAAAATCATCCTTTAAACATATAAATTATATCCTTCTAGATATACTACTATAAATTATATCTATCGCGTAGTTTGACAATAAAATACTTCTAGATAAAATGAGCGATTTTGAATTTACTTACATGAATTTTGAGGAATGCAGCGCTTTTGAAGAAAATAGTGATGATGATATTTTCATTGTTGATCAAGTTGCCCTTGCAAGTGCTCAAGCCATACTAAACGACGTTGATGAAAATGATAACATAGATTGGAGTGAAATTGAACCTGAAGATTCTGGCTCTTCTAGTGAATCCCTTTGAATAACGCATGATGACATAGATATAGAAATTGAAAGAACCTCAACACAAAGTCCAAATTTAACGTCATGTGTAGTTGTAGATATCATCCAAGGTGAGGTAAAATGTTGTGATGGTACAGCAAACCTACGGCGATTGGAGCAAATGATAGGAACATGGGAGATAGATGCAGATGCGGTTAAAGATGTTAAGAACAACCTTCATCAACTCGGAGTATGCTATCCTCATTTTATTTTTGATCAGAACCAACATGCTCGCGGCATAAAACAATCACGTTCAATTGAACAGAGCATTATCCATTTTCGCTTCTGCATTTTCTGTAATAAGAAAAAATGCTTCTTTAGCCGTGGTAACAATTGTGAGAACCATTCATGGAGCATCAATGGGCGTAATATTCAAGTACCTTGTATTGGTGTTCTTAACTGTTCTGCATTTACCGAAGGATCTATTATACAAAAGTCATCTTCAGGCTATCGTGCACGTTATATTTGCTCAAAATGCTTCCAACAACAAGGTGAACATTTGTATGAGAGACCAGGTAGAGGCCAAAAAATCATATCGTGTACTGAACGTGGAAAACACTATGATGATACAAGTGATGCTCTTAAACATATTGGAAAGTGGGTAATGTCAGTAGCTGAGTCGG